ACAAGGAAAACAAATAACCTTCAATAATTCCCACAAGTTACCATAATCTCTCTTCCTCTTTCAAATTCTAGATTCACAACAAGCTGTACGGAATAAGCTTATTCTTTCAATGCTCCCAAAGGTGTACAATTTCCCATCACATTCCCACACATTGGACGAATTACGAAAAGCACGAAGATTAAAAACAAGTCAATGTGAGCAGGAATCAAACGTCTGTTCGAAAAGTCCGTACTACTCCCCAGCACCGCCACCCTGGGTGGGAGTCCCTGGACCACATCTTCCAACCTTCTTTTCTTCTCAGTTGTACACAAGTTCACTAACTCTTGGCTCCGGAGAAAACGCCACAGACAAAGTTCAGCGTATCCGGACAAAAACAAACTGTAGCGATTTCCCACTTCATTCGAGACGTTTTGCAATCTTGGAAATGTTGACCCAAGGTTTAGGCTCGACAGGCACAGGCCCAGCGTTCCCAACCAGGACCATATTGGGTTCCAACCAAACTCTCTGCCGCCATTCATTGTAGATAGCGTCGAATATATATATACATATATATATACATAAGAAATACAACCCAGAGATTGTATGCAAGATCAATCAACATTATCCAGCCTGCAGCCTCGGCTCGGGGGGTGCTGGGTCCCAAAACACCCTCAAATAACACATTGGAGGGCAGGGTCGGAATTCTTCTATGACAACTAAATATGATTTTGTCGGTAGAGTTATGTATATATATATATATATATATATATATTTACAGGATTTACCTTATCCGACGACGCAACTAGGCAATGGTCTGAATGTACGGGCGTATGGGCGGATGGCGAGCGGGATTACCGGAAGGCTAACCAACTCACTGGTTAAGTTATCAAATCGCATGATCAAGAAAATGCTGTGCTAGGTCGCCGGTCGGGTGCTACCAAAGTCCGCGGGCCACTGGCTGGGAGGGAGGGGAATGAGTCAACTCGTTGTATTCTGCGTGGAGAATGAGACTTGCTCACTGCAATATGGAGATGGAGGGCATCCCTTTTTATTTATTTATTTTATTTTATTTTCTATTTTACATCATGATTTGAATTCCGACTTGCTATGCCGCTTTATTCATCTTTGAGACAGAAGATAGACGAAACTGAGTGAAGTGAAATCGGTTTCTTTTGAGCTACCTTATCTCTCTGAATTTCATCTAACTGAGAACTGAAAAGCTGTGGATCATTCTGAAGATAAGAATTCTGAATATATTATGCATTCATTTGTTTTTCAGCATTGTCAAGGTTGAAGTGATTGTTCAAGATAAAGATTTACCTGGGCTAAACCAGTTCCGGGTCTGCGCAGAAGCTGAGTTAAGGTTTAAACTCTAATCTTAATTCGAAAAGCCAAAGAAGAGGAGAAAACGATTCAAAATTGGTTTCTTTTTTCTCTCTGCTCGGAGAGGAACTGTACAAACCAGCTCGTTCATTTTTTCTACCATCTAAGCATCATACAAGATTTCCCACGAGAGCACTATCCAATGAAGCCAATTTAACTCTTCTTCCTGGGCTGAAAGGTTCGATTGAGGGTTGAAACTGCTCGGGCATATTATTATTCATCAGTAGAGTTTGCAGAATTTTTCCATGTCAGTCAGCGCTCTGATGAGAGAGCGAATGATGGAATATCAAATAAAAACCAACGGTTCTGCATACAATAGGGTAGTATTGGCACGACTCCATCATTCACTCGGGTTAACAACTCCATCCCCCCTCCATAATGTCGCCGATATCCCGCTAGATTGCGCGCATTGGGCCCCGTTCTCGCAGAGAGAACGAGAACAGCCGTCCCAAATCTGCTTGCGTAACTCCCTTTCTTTTTTGGGGCGCTCTGGCTCTCTATAATACGGCGGCATGAGCCTATGTACCACCTTGAGAACGCCATCCTGCCTCTGTCCCCATACAAATTCCGATCAGACTGGATTTTCACCTCCAACCCCATGCATGCTCCATCCATTCATCCATCCATCCATCCGGGCAGCAGATATCCCACGGACGTCCTCGGTGAGGATCCAACCGTCGATCATACCCGTATACGATCGGCTACCTGCAATGTGGCTGTGGAAGAGCCCAAGAGCACTTTGGACTGCAGCCAACCAGGAGCTTCGCCCCGGCCAAGGGACGCAGTTGGTTGTGCCACAGACACCAGCATCTTACATAAGCCAGCTGCTGCCTGAGTTCACTCTTAGTTATCAGTTAGTTAGTTAGTTAATAACTAGTTAACTAACTAGTTAGTTAAGTTTAGTTAGTTAACCTATAGTTAAGTTGTTGCTAGTTAACAGTCAACCTAAACTTCACTAACTCATAGTTACCCGAACTCCCTACAAATAAACACTCGGTTAACTGGTTTTCAGCTCAACCCCCTCTACGGCCCAAGAAGTTAGTCAGCCCGCTAACCGACCGAACCAACCAAGGCAGGGCGTGGCGTGGCTGGTTCGGTGAACTCCAAGCACGATTCAATTCATTCCTCCTTTGAATATTTCTCATTTCTTATTTCTTATTTCTTATCTATTATCTATTATTCTTTATTTGTTATTTTATTATCTTTCCTTCCTCTATCGACCGGGCGCGGATTCTCCGAAGTTCTCTTGACGCTGCGGTTCCTCGTCTCCACCGCTCCGTCATTGGTTGGCGCCCCGTGTTGTTGTTGTTGTTGCACTGTCACCAGCCCAACTTAGTCCCAAAGGGGCCCTATTAAATTCTGCTGCCTTGAAGCCCGCATGCCACTACGCCCTCTCCCCCGCTCCCAACCACGGCGACCCAACTATCTACTTCTCTGTCTCTTGGTCTGTTCCTAGTATCCACAGGGGCAGGAAAACAAGAAAACCTGACCGGCGGAGCGCACGAACAACGAGGGAACACACACAAATAAGGAACGAAAGAGACAAAGATAAACAGTAACTAACGGGAGAGAAGACTATTGCTTCCTGCTGGGTTATTTTGCCTCCCGTCGTGCACATCCAACCGCGCCGTGCAAGCCAACCC